GATGGGTATGAAATGACCATACTTGGAGAGACGGTCGACAACAACCAAGATGGCGTTACGACCATGAGTTGAAGGAAGTCCCTTTATGAAATCTATTGCAATGTCAGTCCAGATTTGAGTAGGGATTGGGAGTGGCTGTAACAAGCTCGAGGGTTGGAGAGTTTCATAGTTGATGTGCTGACAAGTGTCATAGCCCGTCCCGAGAAACATTTATCATTAATGTGAAAAGACTAGTTTACCCTTGGATGTTAAAATGTGTGGTGTCTGATTTATTTTGAATTGGATTAATTAAGTTTTTCCTAAGTTTTTGGAACCACTTAGGAACTAAGAAACTTTGGTTGTGATTGGGTTGTTGGCTAGTTTTGGATCACACATCACTCATCCATCCTCTATCTTCCTCCCCGTGCTCTCTCTCTCACACTTGAACTCTCTCTCTCCCTCTTCGAACTCGTACGGACTCACACAATCAAACCCAAAACAACACGGATCGAAGGTTCTGAGGTCTCCAATGTGTTCCTAGGATCCTTACGAGTCGAGTGGTACCCATCTTCAACAAGGAAACCTTCGAGAAACCCTAGTTTGAAAGGGAGCCGTGGGTGTACAGTACACCAAACCAGTTCGTGGATGTTTCAAGCTGTTCTAAGGCTCAAAAGGTAATCTCCTAGTCCTCTTGGTTGTTTTGGCATAAATTGGAACGATTTTGGACGTTAGAAAACCCCAGAAAATAGACCTTCGACTTGGGTACTATTCATAAACTTTTAAACCCTTGAGTTTTTGTGAATTTTAGGACCATAGTGAGCTCAAGGAGGTCCTCACAATGCTCGGAGTGCATCGTTGGTAGGATTTGAGTCACGGGAAGCTCGAAAACGGAGTTTTGCAGAGGTCGCCGGAGTTCGAGGACTTCTCCAACGTGATTTCATGTGATTTGAGGCATGCAAGAGTTATAACGCGATTCTCTACCTCATAAACTTCATTTTGGTGGAAATTGCATGAAAAATAGTGAAGAAATGAGCGAGATTAAAGAGTTTGAAAAATTGCCCAGTTTTCGGTGTCAGCGACGGTTGTCGGAGCTGGAGGTAGGAGGTGAAGGAATATTCCGTCAAGTATGACAAAATATTCTCACGCCGTTAGTTAGATTTAACGGTAACAGTTAGAAGTTAACGAAATATTCCCAGAATATTCTTGACAGCTGATGCTGTCAGTGTGCCTGGCACGGCGCGTGAGGCTTCCAAATTTTTTTCTAAAAATATGAGGATGATCTTGAGGTTGTGTAGGTCATTGTGGTGTATTCATATACCCATTTTGAGCAATGTATGAGAAGTTATTATCTAGTTTTGCCTATGTGCTTTAAAATAAGGTTTTTATAGTTAATTCGCATATAGGTGAGACTTATCTCGAGGACGAGCGTATCCACGGGTGACTCGGGGGTTACGACCCGTCGACATACTAGTGAGTGGGCTTTTGTTTTCAGTATATATTTATATACTTGATATATTTCCCAGAAATGCATTTTTAAGGAAAGTATGCTTTGAAATAATATGCCAGATGCTTTTATATTCTAAATATGCATTTCATGGTTGCATATATATAAATGTGGTGCTGTGGAGGCATAGGTAAGTTCAGGTAAGTTATGTTTGGTTATGTGACTCATCGATGATGTGATATGTGATTGAATGATGTTGAGCTCATAAAACTGCACCGATGGTGATTGTGATTTAGCCAGAGATATGAAGTACATGCCTGTTTATTTATGTCACCTCCCGCACTATAGGCTCATATTGGATCCAACTTAAGTGCAAAGTCTTGTCGTACAAACCTTATTTATGGTTTCGACTCGTAGGTGACTAGCAATTTATTGCCAGACTATTATGAGAGAGTAAAATTGAGCATAATTATATTACACCCAACCTTGTCATACATACCTTTTCTTTTAGTGGTTCCGACTTATGTGCAGTATATTGCCGTATAGGTCATAGTAGTAACTTCGGCTAGATTGAGTTTGAGTTATGAATTATGCTGTACAGACTACCACAGGGGTTCCAGCTAACATGATATGTTTCTATGAATTTATTCTTACCTGAATTGCTTACTCTGTTATATCTTGGCATGACTTACATATGATTATGATTATGTGATGCATGAATTGAATTGATATGTTTATATATATATATATTATGTGTATGCTTATATCTTGATTCTGGGAAAGATTATACATGTTTTTCAGCAAGGGATTAGTGTATTGATAAATGAAATGGTTTTGTTAAGCATTTGTTTTTGCCCACTCACGTTTTCTGTTTTGCGCCTCTCTAGGTTTTAAGTAAGCTTGCTATAGGTGGCTTGAGGACGTCGGCAGTTCTGACCTATCTAAATAATAGTAGGACATTCCTGGTACTGTATAACTAATACTTGTCCTACTGGACTGCACCTAGACTTATTATGCTCTGATTAGGAATGTTTACGTTTATAACTAACTCCTATCACTTCCTGTTTGGTAGTGCATTCTAGTAATTTGGTTTTTGATTATTCGTATATTTCTTTTTAATATTGCTTCCGCACTGTGCATATGGCTACGTCACTCCCACGTGACGGTCAGCATGCCTTGATCTCGGTCGGGGTGTGTCAGTTTGGTATCAGAGCCAGGTTTAGCAGTCTTGAATAATTCTTGAATGTTCTAATCCTTGTGATGTCTTATGTCAGAACTATGCCACCTCGTAGAGAGCCCCGTCAATCAGCTGAATCTAGTTTCCCTGATGTTGCTCAATTAGGGGAAGCTATAGTTTCTGCTATTCAAACTGCATTCTGTACTCCTAAGAGGACACCTCTTGAGACAATTTATAATATGAAGTTGACTCACTTCATTGGAAATGAAGGTTATGAGGGGGCAGAAAAACGGCTGAATCATATGGAGAAGACCTTTCAGGTGATGCAGAGTCAGGGGAATCTTTCTCCTGATAGGTGGGTCGAGACGACTACCTAGTTTTTGGGAGAACAGCCTGCATCCTGGTGGAGACAGGAGTCTTACTAGTTGACCCCAGTAGAGATTATGGACTGGGGAGTGTTTAAGGAGCTGTTTCGGAAAAGGTTCATTCCTCCTGCGTATATCGATCGTAAGAAATAGGAGTTTACTCATCTGAGGTAAGGAAAGATGTTCGCTAATGAGTATTATAGGATGTTTACTGATCTGTCGAGATATGATCCGAAGGTTGCTGCTAATTCGGTAGAGATGCTTCGCTGTTTCAGTTTGGGTACTAAGAAGATATGGCGTTCCATAGCAACATCTATTCACTGTGCTACATACTAGGAGTTTTATGAGATTTTACTGAGGATTGAGGACTTAGAGAACATGCCTAGTGAAAGTGAGGATGAGGAAGGAAATAATGGGGGCTAGAGACGAGATGACAAAGGAAAATGGCAAGCATTTTAGAGACCCCGCAAGACCCAAAACTTTAAGAGGAGTGGTGGTAGTTCCAGCTCTTCTAGCAGAGGATTGAGTACTAATATGCAGAGGAGAGGTGGTGGATTTACTGGAGGCCCTAGGTTCTAGAGACAGAGAGATTTTGGGGGTTCAGGTGGATCTGGTGCTCTTTTATGCCGCAGGTGTAATAATCGGCATTTTGGGAGTGTAGAAGAGGCAATAATGGATGTTTTACTTGTGGACAGATGGGTCATAGGGCTGCCCAATGTCCTCAGAGTCAGCAGAGACCCCAACAGCCTTCTTTCCTACCACCTGCACCGACCTAGCAAGCTTCAGGATCTGGTGGTTATACTCAGACTGGACGAGGAGGTGCCTACCACTATCAGGGCGACGCCGCTCCCTACACCTCAGGACAACATCAGTATTCTTAAGACCTTCAGTATCAGAGTGGGTACCCTCAGTATCAGGGATGATCTATGTCTTATTAGCCTCATTCAGCCAGAGGATCTCAGTGGTACCAATGAGGACAGCTCAGTAGGGAGAGATTGCTGCTAGTAGTGCAGGATCTTCGAGGCAGTCGGGTCAGCAGAGGCAGGGATGTGGTATTCATGCCAACCGAGGTCGCGGTGGACGATAGTAGAAACAAGGGCGTATCCACAACATGTCACTGCAAGATGCCCAGAATAATCCAGATTTAATTATGGGTATGTTAAATATTATTGGTCATTTTGCTAGAGTATTGGTTGATTGTGGTGCTACATATTATGTTATTTCTCATACATTTGCTCAAGTGACATAACCCCATCCTACACCTCTAGGATATACTTTAGAGTTTTCTATGCCTAGAGGGGATAGATGTTTTGTGGATTGGGTATATCTAGGATGTCCAGTGGTAGTAGATGACGTTATTATGCCGGCTAATCTTACGCTGTTGGATATTATGGATTTTGATGTGATTTTGGGCACATATTGGTTGCACTATAATCGTGCCAAGATAGATTGTTATGGAAAAACAGTCACATTTCATTGTCCTAGATTACCTGAAGTTACATTTGTAGGAGAACCTAGTGGGGTGAGGCATGGTATTATTTCAGCTATGAAAGGAAAGAGACTATTGTCGAAAGGTTGTCAGGGATATTTGGCTCATGTGGTGTTGAATGATGATACTCCTAGTAGTGTGGAGGATGTTCGTGTGGTTAGATATTTTCTGGATGTATTCCCTGAGGATTTGCTTGGATTGCTGCCGGATAGAGAGGTGGAGTTTGTTATTGATCTGCTTCCAGGTACGAATCCCATATCCTTAACTCCTTATAGAATGGCTCCTGCTGAATTAAGGGAATTGAAAGTTCAGTTACAAGAGTTAGTGGATAAAGGTTTTATTCAGCAGAGTACTTCACCTTGGGGAGCTCCAGTTTTATTTGTGAGGAAGAAAGATGGAACTTTGAAGCTGTGCATTGATTACAGGCAACTGAATCGGGTAACCATTAAAAACCATTATCCATTGCCTCATTTAGACGATTTATTTGATCAACTCAGAGGTGCCTGCGTATTTTCTAAGATCGACTTGAGGTTGGGTTACTATCAGTTAAAGATTAAAAATGAAGATGTCGCACAAATTTTCAGATATGTTAGAGGGCGAGCGAGAAGGCTGAAATGACGCACAAATTTTGGGTAAATAGCCAGCAAGGCCCAAGAACCCACGCAAGGCTTTGAGAGTGTGGGGTTGAGGCCATTTCATGATGCAGTGCACCTTTTGAGAGTCCACAGCTACACTTGCGGCCAAAATTATGTGACCAAGGTAGGCCACCATAGGTTGGCCAAAGGAGCATTTAGATTGCTTCACTTTCAGAGCATGTGCTCTAAGAACATCAAAGACAAAGGTTATATTATACAGATGAGTAGGTAAGTTGGGGCTAAAGATGAGGATATCATCGAAAAAAACCAAGACAAACTTACGTAAAAATGGCTTGAAGATGGAGTTCATGAGTGTTTGGAATGTGGAGGGCGCATTACACAGGCCAAAAGGCATGACCAAAAATTCAAAATGCCCGTCATGGGTGCGAAAATCTGTCTTCGGAATGTCCAGTTCATACATACAAATTTGGTGAAATCCGTACTGGAGATTTAACTTAGAAACGATCTTAGCACCCCGGAGTTCGTCAAGAAGCTCATCGATGATGGGAACCGGGAATGAAAATTTGACAGTCACTTGATTAAGGCCCCTGTAATCCACACAAAAGCACCAAGTCAGGTCGACTTTGTGAACCAAGAGTGCGGGAGAAGAGAATGGATTGGAGCTGGGTCGAATGAGGCATGCGGCAAGCATTTCATCCACCTGTTTTTCCATTTCAGTTTTTTTGAACATGGGTGTAGTGGTAAGGACAGACATTGATAGATGAGTACCTAGCAACAAAGTGATTATGTGATCAAATTCCTGATGAGGAGGAAGGCCCGTTGGAGCAACAAAGAGGTCTGAGTAGCTGTCCAGAAGGGAGATGAGTGATGGGTGTATAGGGTGGACCGCCTCAGGTGGTGAAGAAGCACTCAAAAGAGAGGCGAGAAGGGACTCAATGTGGGGTCTGGAGGATGCCGACGGTGATGAAGGCAAATGGGGAGGAGAATCCGAGGAGTGGAGTCCCACCAAGCGATAATTATGGCCCTTAATTTGAAACTCCATGACTTTGTGCTTGAAATGCCACCCAATAAAACCTAAAGTTTCTAACCACTCAGCCTCGAGGAACAAATTGCAGCCTCGTACCGCAAGTAAGCGAATGTCAGAGGAAAATGTATAGTCATGCAGGGTCATTGTAAAGTTGTAAGCGATACCTTGGGTATAGCAGATACTCCCATTAGCGACAACCACTTGTTCCACCAGAGAATGATCGATGCGCAAGCCAAGATGCATCGCGATCGAGGGGCTGAGGAAATTAAAGTCCACGCCAGAGTCGATGAAAACCCAGATAGGCAATGTGTCACTGTACCCTACAAGGTGCATGACACGCCCTTGGGTGCGTTTGGGCGAAACCAGGGTGTTGAGGGCAATGGGCACTGTCTCATCCAGTAAGGGCTCGTCAGACACGGGCGGAGTGTCTTCGAGGATCAAGTCGGAGGTAACTTCAGAGACAGCTGCGACATCTAATAATAACAAGTGGGGGGTTGCACAAGTGTGGCCAGGAAAATACTTCTCTGGGTAATAAATTGGCCACGAGATTGTCGCTCACGGACTTCGGCTGGAGATAGGTGCAGCGGTAGCTGGGTTGGGGAGGAGAGATGTGGTTTGGTGTGGGAAACAAACACCATCGATGATGCTGCCGGGACCTCGTGGGAAGGGCGAGAAGAGTATGAGCTGAAAGAAGTGCGACGCTGTTGTTGCTTATTATCGTAGATACGGGTAAGATCAATGGTGCGGGCCAACGAACGAGGGCCCAGGGCTAAGACATCATCTTTTAAGTCCATCTTAAGCCCATCAAGAAAGACACCCAGAAGCTGTGCATCGGTCCACCCTTGGGCGCGGCAAGATAAACAGATGAAGTCATTCATATAGGCCTCCAAATAGCTTTTTTAGGCTACATGAAAGAAGGACATATTAAAGTCCAATTGGTCACCCGACCCAAAGCGTTAAATGAGGCATTCTGTGAATGTGGCCTATAATGCTGACCCCACATGCAACTTATACCACTTGAACCATAAAGTCGCATCATCGGTGAAATAGAGGCCCTCCATCGTGATCTGGTTGTGAGGTTCGACCCCATGGTAGTCCATGTACTCCTCAGCTAACACTAACCAGCTATATGGGTTATCGCCGGAGAAACAGAAAAGTTCAATTTTCATGAATTTGAGAGGAGTGGAAGGGGACGGTGTATCAGGAAGGATGAGGTGGGGTGGGTGTTGGGAAAAGGGGGGGAAGGCTGAGGACGGAGAACGGTAGTTACGGTGACGAACTAGGGAGAAGCTTGGGGGTAGCCGGTTACATGGCGAATGTGTGTAAGGGAGGTGGAATGATTTGGAGTAGTGAGAGCCCCAGGTAGGAAGAGGGACGGCAGCAGGAGGGTGGGGTAAAGGGGTGGAGGCAGAACCAATCAGAATGTGGAAAGAACTGATTGGGATCTGGGAGACCTAGGTAAGTGACGGCTGTGGTGGGCGGGAGAACCGGAGCTCCTCTATGAGATGGGATTGAACAAGGCTGATATTGGCCAGGGTCGCTTGAATATCCGTCAAGTGGGATTGAAAGGACTCCTAGCGGATGGCCAACAACGACACAGAGTTATGGAACCCGTTGAGCTGCTCAAGGATTTGGTGTTACTGATACTCGAGCTCGAGATCAGCCTTCATGACATCGGCCGCGACTATGGAAGCTTTGCTTTTGCCCATGGAGCAACATAACATGGCTCTTGATACCAGATGGTAGGATCAAACTAAAGAGGGAAGCTGCGAAAGAGGAAAGGAAGAAGAAATAAACCAAAGCATTCAGATTTCATTCATAACTCCCCCAAATGGTGGAAGTTGGTTCATATACAACCCTAATGCAAGAGTGTGTGCGATTGAAACACATCATCACTTCACAGACCGTTGGATGCAACCAACATCATACAATTCAAAAGACCATAACACCCTAATGATAAACATCTTATTACTAGTAAACCAGAGTCCTAACAGTGGTAGGCAAGGAAGAGATGATGGTGGGTACGGTTAGTTTCCTCGAAGTATTCCACTGTCCTAAACCCTTATCTTAAAAATCCTGCGCAACCAAGGGCAAGCTATCCCTTGCAAAGAGTCATAAAAGGCAGAGAGTGTCAAGCAAATCGAAAGTTAGGGCAAGGCATATACAAGCATGTCTAGCCGAACACAAATCATTCCACGTTATTGGCATATAAATCGTAGACCCATAAAGTGGGATGGTATTCCCATTACCCATATTAATTCGAAAATCTGTATTTCGGGCACTTTTCTTTCAATTCAACAGTCCAAAAATTTCATATTCTTTTTATTTGTGCAGAAATGATCTTTAAGCGATGACCTATGAGATCTACAATTGAATTTTTGAAATAAAACTCGTAGACCTATAAAGTAGGATGATGTTCTCATTACCTGTATTCATTAAAAAATTAGTATTTCGGGCAGTTTTCTTTCAATTCAACAATCTAAAAGTTTCGTATTCTTTTTATTTTTTGTAGAGATGATCTTTAAGGGATAACTTATGAGATGTAAAGTTGGATTTATGAAATATAACTCATAGACCCATAAAGTGGGACGATGTTCTCAACTTCTCATTACTCGTATTAATTCGAAAATCCGTATTTCGGGAACTTTTCTTTCAATTCAAGAGTCTAAAAGTTTTGTATTCCTTTTATTTTTGGCAGAGATGATCTTTAAGGGATGACCTATGAGATGTATAGTTGGATTTTCTAAATATAACTCGTAGACCCATAAAGTGGGATAATATTCTCATTACCCGTATTCATTCGAAAATCTGCATTTCGAGTGTTTCGTATTCTTCTTACTTTTGGCAGAGATAATCTTTAAGGGATGGCCTATGAACTATACAGTTGGATTTTCGAAATATAACACATAGACCCATAAAGTGGGATGATGTTCTCATTACCCATATTCATTTGAAAATCAGTATTTCGGGCACCTTTCTTTCATCTCAACAGTCTAAAAGCTTCGTACTCTTTTTATTTTTTGCAGATATGATCTCTAAGGAATGACCTATGAGATGTACAGTTGGATTTTTGAAATATAACTCGTAGACCCATAAAGTGGGAAGATGTTCTCATTACTTGTATTCATTTGAAGATATATATCTTGGGCACTTTTCTTTCAATTCAATAGTCTAAAAGTTTCGTATTATTTTTATTTTTGGTAGAGATGATCTCTAACGGATGACCTATGAGGTGTATGGTTGGATTTTTTAAATATAACTCGTAAATCTATAAAGTGGGATGATGTTCTCATTACCCATATTCATTCGAAAAATTGCATTTCGGGCACTTTTCTTTCAATTCAACAGTATAAAAGTTTCATATTCTTTTTATTTTTTGCTGAGATAATCTTTATGGGATGACCTATAAGATGTACAGTTGGATTTTCAAAATATAACTCATAGACCCATAAAGTGGGACGATGTTCTCATTACCCGTATTAATTTGAAAATCTGTATTTATGACACTTTTCTTTCAATTCAAGAGTCTAAAAGTTTCGTATTCTATTTATTTTTGGCAGAGATGATCTTTAAGGGATGACCTACGAGATGTACAAATGGATTTTTGAAATATAACTCCGAGACCTATAAAGTGGGACGATGTTCTCATTACCTGTATTCATTCGAAAATCTGTATTTCGAGCACGTTTCTTTCAATTCAACAACCATATAGTTTTGTATTCATTATACTTTAGGCAGAAATGATCTTTGAGGGATGAGCTATGAGATGTACAGTTGGATTTTCGAAAATATAATTCATAGACCCATAAAGTGAGATAATTTTCTCATTACCTGTATTTGTTCAAAAATTTGTATTTCGGACACTTTTCTTTCAATTCAAGAGTCTAAAAGTTTTGTTTTATTTTTATTTTTTGCAGAGGTGATCTTTAAGGGATGACCTATGAGTTGTACAGTTGGATTTTTGAAATATAACTCGTAGACCCATAAAGTGGGATGATTTTCTCATTACCCGTATTCATTTGAGAAAATGTATCTTGGGCACTCTTCTTTCAATTCAATTGTCTAAACATTTCGTATTTTTTTTATTTTTGGTAGAGATGATCTCTAACGGATGACCTATGAGATCTACTGTTGGATTTTTGAAATATAACTCGTAGACCCATAAAGTGGGATGATTTTCTCATTACCCGTATTGATTTGAGAATATGTATCTCGGGCACTTTTCTTTCAATTCAATAGTCTTAAAGTTTCGTATTCTTTTTATTTTTTGCAGAGATGATCTCTAACTGATGACCTATGAGATGTACAGTTGGATTTTCAAAATATAACTCGTAGACCCATAAAGTGGGAGATGTTCTCATTACCTGTATTCATTTGAAAATTTGAATTTCGAGCACTTTTATTTCAATTGATAAGTCTAAATGTTTTGTATTCTTTTTATTTTTGGCAAAGATAATCTTTAAGGGATGACCAATGAGTTGTGCAGTTGGATTTTTGAAATACACGTAGACCCATAAAGTGGGATGATGTTCCCATTACTCGTATTCATTCGAAAATCTGTATTTCGGGCACTTTTCTTTCAATTCAACAGTCTAAAAGTTTCGTATTCTTTTTATTCTTTGCAAAGATCTTTAAGGGTTGACCAATTATTTTTAAAGTTGTATTTTCGAAATATAACTCGTAGACCCATATAGTGGGATGATGTTCTCATTATTCGTATTCATTTGAAAATCTGTATTTCAAGCACTTTTCTTTCTATTTAACAGTCTAAAAGTTTAGTATTCTTTTTATTTTTTTTTTCAGACGTGATCTGTAAGGGATGACATATGAGATGTATAGTTGGATTTTTGAATTATAACTCGTATTCGTTCGAAAATTTGAATTTCGTGCACTTTTCTTTCAATTCGAGATGCTAAAAGTTTCGTAATGTATTTATTTTTGGTAAAGATGATCTTTAAGGGATGACCTATGTGATATATAGTTGGAATTTTGAAATTTAACTTGTAGACCCATAGAGTGGGATGATGTTTTCATGACCCGTATTCATTCGATAATATGTATTTTGGGCACTTTTATTTCAATTCAACCCTCTAAAAGTTTTGGATTCTTTTTATTTTTTGCAGAGGTGATCTTTAAGGGATGACCTATGAGATGTACGTTGGATTTTCAAAATATAACTTGTAGACCCATAAAGTGGGATGATGTTCTCATTGCCCGTATTTATTCAAAAATCTGTATTTCGAGCAGTTTTCTTTCAATTCAACAGTCATATAGTTTCATATTTTTTTTTATATTTTTGGCAGAGATGATCTTTAAGGGATGACCTATGAAATTTATAGTTGGATCTTGAAAATATATTTCGTAGACCCATAAAGTGGGATGATGTTCTCATTACCCGTATTCATTTGAAAATCTATATTTTGGGTACTTTTCTTTCCATTCAACAGTCTAAAAGTCTTGTATTCCTTTTATTTTTTGCAAAGATGATCTTTATGGGATAACTTATGAAATATACAGTTGGATTTTTGAAATATAACTCGTTGACCCATAAAGTGGGATGATGTTTTCATTACCCGTATTCATTCGAAAATTTGTATTTCGTGTACTTTTCTTTCAATTCAACAGTCTAAAAATTTCGTATTCTTTTTATTTTTTGTAGAGATGATCTTTAAGGGATAACCTATGAGATGTACGGTTTGATTTTGGAAATATAACTTGTAGACCCATAAGGTGGGGTGATGTTCTCTTTACCCGTATTGATTCGAAAATCTATATTTCGGGCAATTTTCTTTCAATTCAAAAGTCTAAAAGTCCCGTTTTTTTTTTTTTTTTTTTTTTGTAAAGATGATCTTTAAGGGATAACCTATGAGGTATACTG